TTCGTTCTTCCTCAGGAATATATATTGGTATAATATTCATGTATCTTCTTTCTACCTTAATTCATAGAGTTACTATTCTTTCCTTTATAAATGTGTACGATACTATTCTATTTTTATACTTTCTTCACAAGCATAGCAACTCCTGCTGAGCCTCTCTCTACTTGTTAGACACTATTACAGATATACTTTTGTAATTGTATTGTATCTTTAAATTTATTTTTAGTTTCCAATAAAGCAACAAAATCTACATCCATTTCAATCAATTGTTTTTCTAATTCTTTTTATTTGTATAAATTCTTTGACATTCCATGCTGCTATATGTAGTTTTTCTGAGATTCCATTATTCATTCATCTATTATTTATTGATGAAGTCGTCTTCATTTCTGCCCAGCAATCTGCCCAGTGAGGTCTTCACTGAGCAAGGGGCCCTGATGAGGTGTTAGCAGCTGGAGCCAGCTGGACCCAAGTTTTTTTAAAGAGGCATTACTTCTCTCTCACTCCCCTCTTTGTCCTGGCTTGTGACAGACAGAGCTTGGCTCCCAAAACATTTGGTCCAAGTTGGCAGGGTTGTCAGTGATAATATTACAGTGTATCAGGTAGCTTTTTAACCTTTCATAGAAGACTTTCTAATTATTATGAAAATCCTGCCAAGAGTAAAATCTTAACATTGTCTAATCCAAAGCAGGTTAAACCTGCAGTACTAAAATACCAGGGGGGAAAAATGGTTAAAGAATTCTGGCAGTGTACATAGAATACAGTAAAACATTTGATATGGATGACAATATAATGAGGTTTCAGGTGGAGAGAAGACTGAAAGATAGTTTTCTAATGCATTTTGGTTGAAAGAAAGTTTGTGATTAATCTAGCAAATGCCTTAGAAAATTCCTTTAAAAGTTTGAAATATAGTATCCCACAGTGAAGTCACTTGAGATCAGTTTTAATAAATATCTACATTAATATGCCATTTTCAAGAATGAATAAATGAGAACTACTAATGTGTGCAGATGATGTAATACTGTTATATTCTCTCTGAAGTCTAAACTTATGCCATGGAATCATACAAAATGACTTAAACTCTCTACTGAAATGGTCATACAACAAAAGCCTTGCTAATCAGAGTAACACTAAATTGATGGTATGTACTGCAGAACACTACGAATACAGGGTTTGAGAGTGCTTCACACACATAAATGCCTATTTGAAGACAAAACAAAACTCTAAATATGGGAGACTTAACTACATAATGGATTATAGTAACTATTTGGTGAAATCTTTGATCCACATCTGAAATTTTACAAGCATATTAATATATTATTTGACAAAATTAAAAGATTTTTTGGCAGGCTTCATGCTGCAAAAGTACATTTAAACA